TTAAAAATTTATTTATTAGCTCACTGATCGATTGATTGGTGGTATATGTTTGTATTACTACTGTGCTTTTTCTTTTCATCTTGTTCATTCTTAGAATACTCTGCCTAGATAGTCTGTAGAATAGCTTAGTGACTTCTTCCATTCTTCTCCCCATTGTATGCAAAGCTAATTTTCCACCCACTGAACTACAGTTTGATTTTTGTCCAATATTTTATATCTTACCATAAAGAGAAAGAACTTGAGATTGGTGAGGAGGCTTTCTTAGAATACCTGAGGTTTTTTTTCTCTTACATTTAAAATTTTTTTTTTTTCAAAGAGACAGGGTCTCACTCTGTCACCCACACTGGAATGTAGTAGCACAATCATAGCTCACTGTAGCACTAAACTCCTGGGCTCAAGTAATCCTTCCACCTCAGCCTCCCTGGCAGCTAGGACTACAGGCATGCATCACCACACTTAACTAAATTTTTTTATTTTTTGTAGAGACAGGGTGTCGCCTGTTTTGCCAGGCTTGTGTCAAACTATTGGCCTCAAGAGATCCTCTCTCCTTGGCCTCTCAAAGTGCTGGTATTACAGGTGTGAATCTGGCCTCTCTCCATTATAAGATTTTGTTAAATGCTTTCTACCAAGTTCATTCCGTTTTATTAGAGGATATCGACAATTCTCAGAGGGAAATGTACTTAGACTTTGGGTCACTTTCCCAGTCGATTAAGAGAGTAGTCTGGAGTTTACTTAAGTCGTGGAACATCACCCCCATTTTTCACTTCCTTGCCTCACCAATTTTTGCTCTATAGGTTTTTCTAACATTTCCATTTAGAAGAGAAAAGAGGTAGTATTTTCTACTCAGTTTGTTTCTTTCCATATTTGAAGGCATTAAGAAAATTCTCAGAGTTTTATCAGTATTGCTTTGTGTGTGTGGGGTTACGGTTAAGAACTGAGCTTTGCTGCTCCCTCAGTTTTAGTTCCAGTATGTTTGTTTTCCTCTTGGTAACCAATTTTTTAATATTTGGTGACTTATGTTGTGTCCCATGTGTTATTTCATTAGTTTTGTTTAATTATTTTTTATTAAATATTTTTGCTGATTTTTTTTTTTTTACACATTGAAGGAAGAAAAAAGAATTGCCATTTCAGCCTACCATGCTACCCTGTAACCTATTCCTTACCGTACTTTCTAATTAATTATAGAAAAGTTTACTTTGTTATAACTCTGGGTTGAGATTGTAGTTCTTTTTATTTGCAATTTTAGTGATCATGGTGGTGGGTGGTATATGTGTTTTTTTGTTTATGAATGAGAGAGAATGAAGAAGGAGGAAACATGTGGAATTGAAAAGAGGAGAAATATTTCCAAAACACTCTGTTATGTAAGAGATTAAACTGATTTGACCCAAACAGTATATATATTGATATTTGCAGTTTAGGTGAGGAATGAAGGTGGCAACAGTAGCTAATTTTGCATGAGTACTATGCTATGTGAGTTACTGTTATGGGTATTAATGCTGTGTAAGTATTAACTAATTTAATTCTTAAAATAGACCTCTGAGACAGTACTGTTATTATCCCTTATTTTATAAGTTGGAAAACAGCATAAAGCAGAAATAACCCAGAGTTACAACTGGGATCCAGATCCAGGCAATTTAGCTCTTAATCACCATTCTGTGAATTTGGTTCAGATTTTATTAGATTTCTACAAAACGATTGAATAGGATTAAACCCTGGGATACATAGCAGCTTTATTCTGAGCTATTTAATTTTATGTTTTGTGTAGTTTTTCAGTTTATTCTTTATCATTATGTGATTTGTAATATTGCATAGTAATATTTACAATATTGTAAAGTAATATTATAAAGCATTATAATAAAATGTCTAAATAAAACCAGAAATATTTTAAGCATATGTTATTGTTACTTAAACTTTTAATTAGGAAAATATATTTGTCCAATTCTTTCACATCAGAATCAATCTTAAGAGAACAAATATGTTTTCTCTTATATTTACTAGTCTTTTTTTTAATAGAAAAAAAGTGGAAAATATTGAAAGTTTGGAAAATAATGAAAAATATAAAGAACAAAAATATCACTCATTTTCTAGCTTTAACTTCTGTTTCTCTCCATTGATTTTTGTTTGTTGTGAATAATTTCAAATAATTATAGACTTACAGTAAGTTATAAAAGTAGTAAAAAGGTCCTGTCCACCCTTTACCCTATTGTCTTTTTTCACATGTACTCATTTACTCATTCACTGAAACTATCCAGTCACCAAATTTTATAAGCTTCTCAAAATTTAACATTAAAATTACTTATTGTGAGTGATTTGCCATTCATGAAAAGTTTTTGAAAATATAATTTATAATTAGCTGTATAATATTCCCAAATATAAATATGTAAT